ATTTTCCATTTTGTCAATCGAGTAATAATTATTATTAGCAAACAATACTTTATTAATAATTGAACAAAATAATAACGTGTTAGCATATGAAAAAACATATTTATTTCTATTTTTAAACATTACTCTTATTCATTAATGCCTAATATGTACCTTATTTTTAAATGTACAATGTTATCTTAATATAAACATCTAAATGTTTATTTAAAGATTTTTACAATTGTTTTTTTATCATCTAATGAAAATTTTTTAGCTTCTAGTATCTGAAGAGAGATTGGAATCATGCAATGAAACTGTAAAGTGCCTTTTATCGTTAGAACTTTTTGAAAACGTGCTGACAACATTTGTTCTTCTTTTTCATACTCATCATTTGTCGAATAGCGACACGTTATATTATGCAAAGCTTCTGTTGCCCAAGTGAATAATTCTTGGGGTGTTCGAATAGGATTATTTATCCTTTGAAGACTAGCTCTAGCAGCAAGTCGTTTTAACGTTCCACCTATTCCATCACATGGTCCCTTGCCATGGGACGTTGGGAAAAAATGCCATTCGGCTGCTATTCCAAAATCTTGTAAATGATGAGTAATGTTTATAAAATTTTTCTTGTTTTTATACTGTGCGCTTGCACCGTCCGAATTATATGTATATATACAATTAAGTAGGAGATTATTAACTACTGATAAATAACGTTTTTAAGAAAAATTTTATTAAAATCGTAATTAATTGTTTTTTCATTTGCTAACATGTTATTATTTTGTTCACTTAATAATAAAGTCCTGTTTGCTAATAATAATTTGTACTCGATTGACAAAATAGACTAATAGTTGAATAATCATTAATGTTATTGAGAAAAACGATGTGGGGTTAGAAAAAGAGGCGTGCAGAGGTACCCGCGCGCCGATACGACGTGCCGCGCTAGATAAATTAATTTATCTCTATCAGTAAACATAATTTCTCCATTAATAAAATATACGTTTTTTATAGAAAATTTGACGTAGAATACGATGGTTGTATTAAGAAATCGTTAAAATTTGGGGGCCATGGTTAAAAATTGATTTAAACATTTCAATTGTTTATAACAATATGAAATTTTTTATAAATTTTTTTGGAAATATTTTTTTCTCAAAATTCACTCTTTTATCTTCAAAATGAAAAAAAAAGATTTTTTTTGCTTAAAAAGAACCGGAGTTATGAATTTTTGAAAATGAGTCTCCAAGGCAAAAATCACGAAAATCTTAAACTTTTAATCCTCTCTATTAAAAAAAAAAAAAAAAAAAAAAAAATTCCTCGAACACGTATCTTTTTTTTTTCGATATAGAACTCGTAGAAAAAGTTTCAGCCAAATAAAAAATGTGTCGGTCAGATTTTGCCTCAATCCGTCCGGTTTGTAAAAGAATTACCCATAGGCGTTAATGTTTAAAATTTGGGTGGCATAAATGCCGATATAGATGTCAAATCAAATTTACGAATAATAAATAGAATTTTATGTTTTCACGTTTTCCGCACAAACATAGCTGCACAATTACTCATATCTTTAAACAGAAATGTGGGAAAACATTTGAATTTGTCAAATAAATTTCATTATATAAGTTACAAAATATCGTCATAAATGTAAGATTGTGAGCTAATGGAATGAATTTTTATTGTATCGAGCATTTTCGTTTTTTGTTTCCTAGCACTTTCAGGAATATAATATTAATAATGAGGCTAAATTTACTAAAGCAAGTAATAAGAAAATCATATTCAATGCCTAAAATTCGAAATTTAATTTATAAAAACATTAAATTTTGACATTTCGCTTTAAATAATAAATGTAACAGTTTCCTATCTATCCTCTCAATTTTAAATAATTTGTTTAATTAGATAGAATTTGTTATTTAGAATCTTTCATTGGAAAAGCAGTAGACTAATTGTTACGGACTAATTGTTACAGTAACAATGAATTTCTCATTTCGATATAAAGAAAATCAGAAGCCATATGCTTAATTGCTTTTAAATTATTTAAAAGTTGTCAATCAATGATGAACAAAATAAATTATAGATAAAAAATAATAGCTCCAAATAAAATAATAATGATATATAAAATATGAAATTTTTATATGACTTTTTAACATATTTCATAATATAAGAAAACAAAAATGTTAAAATAACTATCAAAAATAAAACACGTTTATACCAAATATATTTTATTTGGCAGTAAGGTAAATGTTAATATTTATAACGGATAAAGAAAAGGATAATCTATTAATCTGTTTATTAAATAGTTTTTTATTAAATGTTTCTTATTTAATGTTTATCTTGATAATTTATATACGACTCTCGATCTTAAATACACTCGGCAATAAAAATACTTTAATACACGCATTAAATGGTCTATTTATACGTCTAGTTTGAAATAATCTATTTAATATTCTGAATTCCAATAAGGGATCCAGATCATTAAACAAATTATTTTAAATCAAGTCAGTTCATCAAAAATTAAATAAAAAAAAACAAATATACTTTAAATCTTATGTCAGTTCTTTATCAATCCTTTGAAGACTTTATTTTTACCCATTTTATGATGAAAATTTAAATACGAGTTAGTTGTATTTGTCGTCGCCTAGCGGCAAGCAAAGAAACATATGTAATACACTATTATACATTTTTGTTATTTGAAAATGTTGTTGCATATATATATAATATTTTTGGATAAGAGTAGGGAGAATAGGTCGATTCTAACCCACTTTTTCCACGGGTGCGAGAGAGAGGTCTCGTAGAGCGAGAGAGATAGAAAGATATCTGAGGGGCAGGGTGACGGCGGCGCGGGTGAGCAGGGGGGGTAGGTAGGGCGAGGGGAGCCGCTCGCCGTCGGGTGGGTAAACGGAGGGTCGTGACGTCACGCGGCGGCGGGAGGGCGAGGGGGCGAGGGGGGAGCGGACGGAGGGTAGGGCGAGGGGGCGAGGGGGAGCGCGGTTCGCGCTGGAGCGAGGAAGAGGGGGGGGAGAGCGCGCGTCCCTGGTTACGGCGGGCGCGCGTCCCTGGTTACGGCGCGTCGGAGCGTCTCTGGACGCGGCGCGCTAGGCGCGCGCGATAAGCGGCGATCGCCCCGGCGTCGGGCGCGTCGCGCGAGATAAGGCGTTAATAATAGAGCGGATGTGTTCGACGCAGGCCTGGAAGAGACGTAATGTAAAATGTGCGATTTAATTAATATTTATACAATATTTATACGATATTTAAATAATATTAACGCAATATTTATACCGCGCATACGCGCCTCCTCAGGCTCGCGTCGTTTCGACGCGCCGAGGAGGGAGCGGTCTCGAGCGGTCTCGAGCGTTTTCATCGCGTCTTACGCGTCGCTCGAATGTAAATTCGAATATTTTTTCATATGTCCGTTTGTAAGAAAAAAAGCGCGCGATGTATCGGGAGAGCACGCGGAGCGCGGCGGTGTTTCTCGCCTCGTCTCGTCGTAGACGTCGAACGCGAGTTCACCGCGCGCGAGCGCATCGCTCGAATTTTAACCTAAATGTGCGCGCGTTTCGTAAAAACGAGCGTACTATGTATCGGGAGAACACGTCGCGAGTAGAGGCTTTTTCTCTCTCGTCGACGGTGGTCGTCGATCCTTCGTTCCGGAGGATCGACGGAGAGCGCGTCGATCGGACGAGGACCTCGTCGCGCGCGCGCGCGCGATATCGCGGTTTCGCGCGATATCGCGGTCGTGGCGCGTTTTCGGACTCGCCGCTTATCTCTCCTTTTTTTTTTTAAGCGCGATAACGAGAGAGGAGCGGGATTCCGTTAGGATTTACTCGCGCGCGAGGGATATTCGCGGCGACGCTTCCGTCGCCGTTCCTTCCTCTCGAGCGCGTCGCGCTAAGACGAGAGGGATATTCGCGGCGACGCTTCCGTCGTCGTTTCTTTCTCTCGAACGCGCAGCGGCGAGAGACGCGCGCGCGCCGAATCCGGTCGAATGCGGTATTTCGACGGATTCGTTGTTTCCGAAGGCGAAAACCGCGCGACCGCGGAGAAATTTTTTCCCGCTCGCGCGACGTCGTCGTCGTCGTCGTCGCTCGAACGAGCGAGTATAAAGACGCCGACGGTCGTTTCGAGGCGCGCACACATCTCGCGGATGGTCGCGATCGGTCCGTCCGATCGTTTTCTCGGGAAGATAGGTTCGCGAACGACGAGGCGCGCGTATGAGCGGCGCGAGTTCCGCCGGAGTCGTCTCTACCGTCGACGGTAGAGCGACGGAAAGGGAAGAGGAGTTGGCGCGCCCGATAGACGACGACAACTTCGAGTTGAAGGAGAGCGCGCGATGGAACGTCGCGACGTATCATCTGAGAAGAGCCGTTCAAACGCACAGTCGGCGCGAGGAGTTGTGGGTCGAGACGGCTCTGGCCAACAGTCGCAGAGCCCTCGTTTTCAACGTTAAACTAGACAGATGGTTTGACGCGAAGTATCCGAGGTCGAAGTACCCGAAGGGTTATCCGTATCCAGAGGGTCGGAAATTCCACTCGTTCGATTATCCCCAACCGGATGTTCGATATTTCTCACCGCTCACGCGCTGCGAGATCCGCGTGCCCGAGGATAACGCGGGTAGAACTCTGCGATACACGTACGATCGCGAGGACAGCGGTCGCGAGTACCCGTTCCGCCGAAATATGTTCTGCGGCGTGGATTTGATACGCTTGAGGCGCGAGTTGTCATGACCGAGGAGCGCGTCGATCCACCGATCGATCGCTACGTTCGAGTGTTGAAGGAGAGGATCGCGTGGAGCGTCGCGACCTATTCGACGAGGCGGGCGATCGGTCTTCGAGACGCGCGCGAGGAGCTGTGGATCGAGACGGTCCTGGTGTGTAGCGGAAGAGCGGCGAGATTCGACGCCGGAGATACGCGGGCGACCGGGACGCGTCGCGGGATTTCGCTGCCGGTGGATTCGCGAGGCGAGACGCTGTGGATAAGGCCTCGCGGGGAGGAGAGAGAGAGGACGACGAATCGCCGTAGGGAGAGAAGAGGACGCGACCATGCGGGAGGAAGAGCGCCGGACGCTGGAGAGCGCGCGCGAAGTCGTCACGACGGACGACTATCGCGCGTGGACGCGACGATGCGAGGAGTGTCTCGCGACTCTGCGCGAGAGGTGTCTGGACGCGAGTCGTCGAATCTCCACGGGGGCGAGGACCTCTCTGGTCGCCCGAATCCTGCGAGTGATCGGCGCGAGGAACGATCTACGGCGACGTTTCGAGCGGGAGGGCGCGGGTGTCGCGAGACGCGAGGACGACGGCGGTAGCGGGGTCGAGTCGCGCGAGGGATTCTCGTGGTCCGAGGTCGAGACGGCTTTCAAGAGACGCGTGTTGACCGGCGCTGTGATAAATCTCGATTACATCGAACCTCTGAGATTTCTCGAGGACGCGAGGGACACCGTGCTCCGCCGCGTGCGCGACGTCATGGGCCGATATCGCAGCGTTAAAGTGAACACGACGTTCAACGGAGAATTCGTGTCGGGCGATAAAATCGCCGTTAAGACGATCGCCACGAGAAACCATCCCCTTCTACCCACGACGGATCTGCGCGAGTGGTATGATACTCGCGTCGTCGGCGATACCGTCGCATCTTTGGAGGAGTTTCAAGAGCGCGACAGCGGATGGGCCCTGTCGCGCATACTCGATCTAACGGTGAACGTGAACGTGTACAATCCCATGCGGGCGGGGTGCCATGTGCGAGTACCGCGAGAGATTCAAACGAAGAGAGCGGTGATCAACGTGCGATCCGACGACGACGACGAGGCGTGTTTCGCGTGGTCGGTGGTCGCCGCTCTGTATCCCGTGGATAAGCACCGCGAGAGAAGCTCGCGATATCCGCATTACACCGAGGTGTTGAATCTGGAGGGCTCGAAGTTACCTATGACTCTGAACGGAATCGGACGGTTCGAGCGTCTGAACGATATATCGGTGAACGCGTACACCGTCGGAGAGAGACGACGCGGGAAGGACGGCGACGGCGGGATTCGCATCGTCCCTCTTCGTCTGACGGATCGAAAGAGGGAGAGACACGTCAATCTGCTGTATCTGAGCGATGCGACGCGCGAGGGTAACGCGGTCGGACATTTCGCCTGTATTCGAGATCTGTCTCGTCTAATCGGCTCGCAGTTGAGCAAGCGACAGCACAGGACGCACGTGTGCGACCGGTGAGCGTTCGATCTCGGCGAGCGAGAGCGAGACATCGAGCTAGCGTTTATTTCGTACTTTCTTTCAGATGCATGCATTACTTTCGCACGAGCGAGAAGCTGTCGGCGCACAGCGAGGATTGCGGCAAGCTGAACGATTGCGCGATCGTTCTTCCCGGCGAGGACGACAGGTGGCTGGAGTTCGAGCATCATTCGAGAAAGGAGCGAATTCCGTTCGCGGTGTACGCCGATCTGGAGTGCGCGTTGGAGAGGAAGGAGGGGGACGAGGGCGGGAGAACCAAGAATACGCGGATCGTTCAGCATCACAGAGTTCACAGCGTGGCCTATTACACGCGTTGCTCCTTCGACGACGCCGCGTCGGCGTACGGATCTTATCGCGGCGAGGATTGCGTCGCGTGGTTCGTGCGCGAGCTGCGCGATCTGGCGCTTCGCGCGAAGGTCGCCCTCGACGGCGTGGTACCGATGGCGGATCTGACGTCCGACGAGCGGGAGACGTTCGCGAGCGCGTCGCGCTGTCACGCCTGCGAGAGACCGTTCGAGGCCGACGACGTTCGCGTGCGCGATCACTGTCACTTGACCGGCCGTTTCAGAGGTCCGGCGCATTCCGCGTGTAATTTGAATTACAAGGACCCCTACGTTATACCCGTATTCTTTCACAATCTATCGGGTTACGACGCGCACTTCATTATCAAGGATGTGGCTAACGCGTATCCCGGCAGCGTCGAGTTGTTGCCGGTGACGAAGGAATCGTACATAGCTTTCTCTAAGACCGTTCGAGATAGCGCGGCGGCGGCGGCGGAGGGAGACGGGGGAAACGTCGCGCGTTCCAGATACGTCAAATTACGATTCGTGGACTCGTTCAAGTTTTTAGGCGCCGGTCTCGACAAGCTGGCGTCGTATCTCGACGAGAGCAAACTGACGATCGCGCGAGGCGAGTTTCGCGATTTCTCCGACGACGACTTCCGGCTTCTCACGCGCAAGGGCGTGTTTCCGTACGAGTACGTCGACAGCGTCGAGAGATTGCGGGAGACGCGTCTCCCGCCGCGCGAGTCCTTCTACAGTTCTCTGACCGGCGACACCGTATCGGAGAGCGATTACGCGCACGCGACGCGCGTCTGGAAGCGATTCGGCGTCGAAAATCTAGGCGAGTACAGCGATCTCTATCTGAAGACCGACGTTCTTCTGCTCGCGGACGTGTTCGAAAATTTTCGCGCCGCTTGTTTGGATAGTTACGGTTTAGATCCCGCGTACTACTTCACGTTGCCGGGATATACGTGGGACGCGATGCTCAAGTACACGGGGGTCCGTTTCGAACTGCTCACCGATATCGATATGATGATGTTCGTGGAACGCGGAATACGCGGCGGTCTGAGTCAGTGCTCCAACAGATACGCTCGCGCTAACAACAAGTACATGAGCGCGTACGATCCGTCGCGACCGTCGATCTATCTGATGTATCTCGATATCAACAATCTGTACGGTTGGGCGATGTGTCAGCCGTTGCCGTACGAGCGATTCGAGTGGGTCGACGACCTCGAGAGTCTCGACGTGATGTCCGTGACGGAGGACTCGACCGTCGGCTACATTCTCGAGGTCGATCTCGACTATCCGGCCGACGCGCACGACGCCCACGCCGATCTACCGTTTTGTCCCACGCGCGATAAGCCGCCGGGGAAGCGGCAGAGCAAACTCCTAGCCACGCTGTACGATAAGCGCCGATACGTCACGCACTATCGCAATCTGCAGCAGTGCGTTCGTCACGGTCTGCGTCTGACTAGGATTCATCGCGCGCTGCGCTTCTCGCAGTCGCCGTGGTTACGCGGATACGTGGAGCTTAACACGCGTTTACGCACTAACGCGAGTAACGATTTCGAGAAGAATCTGTACAAGTTGATGAACAACGCCGTCTTCGGCAAGACCATGGAGAACGTGCGCAATCGCGTGGACGTTCGACTCGCGACCCGATGGGACGGTCGATTCGGAGCCGAGGCGCTCATCTCCAAGCCGAATTTTCACAGTAGAAGCGTATTCTCGGAGAATCTCATGGCCGTGGAATTGCGCAAATTGGAGGCGAAGATCGACAAACCGATCTACGTAGGCATGTCGATTCTCGATATATCCAAGATTCGTCTGTACGCGTTTCACTACGAATACATGTCGCCGCTCTACGGCGATAAGTGTAAGATATTGTACACCGACACGGACAGTCTCATTTATAGCGTAGAGTGCGAGGACGCGTACGAGCGAATGAAGCGCGACGTCGATAGATTCGACACGAGCGATTACGCCGTCGACAATCCCTACGGCGTGCCGCGCGCGAATAAGAAGGTTCTCGGTCTGATGAAGGACGAGAACAACGGCGCTCTCATGCTCGAGTTCGTCGGACTCAGAGCGAAGATGTACGCGTTGCGAGTCGAGGGTAGAGGCGACACTAAGAAGAGCAAGGGCGTTAGGAGCAGCGTCGTCGCGAGAACGCTGACGTTCGACGATTACGAGCGCTGCCTGAGACGCGAGATCGAGATGACTCGCGAGCAGTCGTGCCTGAGATCCAAGTTACACGAGGTGTACACCGTGCGCGAGTCGAAGGTTGCGCTCAGTCCGTACGACGATAAGCGCTACGTCGTGCCGGATTCGACCGACACTCTGCCGTGGGGGCACTACAGGATACCACTGTGAGGAGAGGCGCGGATAGATCTTAAGCGCAATGCGATGTATTTTTACAGATATGCGCGATGTATTTTATTATCTTTAATGTTGTACAATATATTATATATATGTTCGTTGCGACGCGTTGCAATGCGCGCGATGTATTTTCTTATCCTTAATATTACAAATATGTATATGTGTATGTTCGTTGCGACGTATCTCTTCGTCCGCGATATCGCGCGAAAATATACGTATGTTCGTCACAATATGTCGGCTTTGTCTATCCACGAATTATGCGACCTGTCCATCCCCAGCCACTTCACGAGAACCGCGTCGCCCTTCCGGCGCAGCACTCTCTCCACGAGATACACGTCGGGATCGGAGACTCGCTGCAACTCGTGCTCGTAGAATCCGCCGGTTATCGGCTCGCCGCGCGAATCCTTCAGCAGATACGTCGCGGGATTCGTCTTCGCACCTCGGCTACGCGGAAGATCTCCGCGGTCCAATTCGGCGTGTATCCCTTCTCGAACAGCGTCTTGTACTTGCTCACGCGCACGGGATCGTTCGGTCGAAATTTTCCCCGGAGCGGCGATCTTCG